GGGGAATATATAGGGTCATAATAGGTATAGTGGACACTGGAAACTAAGAAGAGGAAGGCTCACAGAGAGGTGAAGGATAAAAAGCTACACATGGGGCACAGTGTTCACTATTCTGGTGAAGGGTACACTGAAAGCCCTAACTTTAGCATGACACAATTCATCCATGTAACAAAAATTGCTCATACCATCTTAATTTTTGCAATTAAAAAAATTATGATGAAGCATCAAAATAACAGCTCTTAACTTGTTATAAGTATAGAATTCCTAACTGTTTTGGCAAAGATTTCATACATCTAAGTAAGAGAATATCCATGGTGTCATAGCAAAAGAACACTGATTTTCCTTTGTTGAAGAGGGGAAAGGTAATTTTCTGGAGTTATCAGGGGCTGTGTTCCCACCATCAATCAATGCTTTGAAGATACTAAGAACCTAGTCAAGATGGTCTCAGACTTTGGAGAGGTTGGACATCTGGAAGACAGGTAAGTTATTAGAGAAGAAAAAAAAAGCAAACAAAAAATCACAACTAGATTCACCTAACTTAGGGACCCAATCTCTCGGGAACAGACAAAAATTGGAGCAGAAAAAATTCTCTTTCTGTCCAGATCAGTGTCCACAGGGAAATCAGGTGCTTCCAGGTTGGAGTAACAAGATGGAAATGTACCTAATGAGCAAATATAGGGAGCTGTAACTATCTCCTCTGTTGTCACCCTTCAGAGCATACAACCTTGGGCTGGATAAGACACAATTGCTTCTCCTGGAGTCCTTTATCTCTGACTAGAGGACCTACTGCTTTTTCCTTCTTGCTGTCTTGAATGGCAGTAGAGCTTCAGTTTCTATCATCGACCATCCAGGATAGAATTCAGACTTCCACACAGAGACCTTCCTCTCAGAAACCCTAACCAGGTGAGTCTGAGTTTCTGTAGGAAACGTTAAGAGAGAATGGAAGCTGACAATGTTTCCCTGAGGTTAACTGAGAGCCAATCCAACTGAGGTGAGAACCAAGAGATTGCTACATTTGTTTCCTTGGTTAACTAATTAATTCATATTTAATTTATTTAACATACTAGGAAGTGAAGTGTCTGTCAGACTCAGCTATGCAGGAATCATTATTGACAATTAAGGATGGGTGTAGAAATCCCCAACTAGTGAGACTGAAGAAGGAATGGGAGTCATATTGTGGTGTTGGTGAAATTAGATCATATTCAAGAAGTGTTGCAATTCAGGGAAGTAAAAACACTGAGTGTGGAGAGATATGAAGTGAGAGTTTTTATTTTAAAAAAACTCTGTGCGTTTTTGTGTGTATTTGAGTTTGTTCCTGTATTCATTAAAAAAAAAAAACAAAACCCAGACCAATGCATTGCTTGCAAATAAATACTATTTTGTAGGAGCAGCTCATGAATCATACATCCATTTTGCAGTATCTGTTCTCATGCTAGGTATTCAGATGACAAAATGTTTATTTAATAGTTGAAAAGGGGTACAATAACAAGCTTTACTTTGCAATTATTTCCATTCTTGTGAGGCTGAATTTGTTTATGGATTTGTTAGGCATTTCCTTTCTCTACTGCCAATAGTCTGTGTGCAAGGATAAAAAACTACATACTGAGTACACTGTTCACTGCTCTGGTGAAGGTACAATGAAAGCCCTGACTTTAGTGTAATGCAATGCATCCATGTAACAAAAATCACTTTTAGTCCCCTTAATTTTTGAAATTAAGCTCTTCATGTGTTACAATTATGGAATTCCTAACTGTTTGGGAAAAAGTGCTATAAATCCAAGTGGCATTTGTTAATCCTTTCCTTTCTCTACTGTGAATAGTCTATGTGCAGACTCTCCAGCTTTGCTTTTGTAAAGTGGGTTTGCAGTGTTTTTAGTCCAGTTTTTGATTACATTCTTTCAAATATAAGAATTAGAGTTTTTCACCAGCGAGTTTTTCACCAACTAATTTGCCATTTCTTTCTTTCTCATATTTATGGATTTTTTTTTGGAGGGAGGACATGTGAAACTATATAAATTTTGTGTAGTCAGGTCTATCATTTGGTCATATTGTATACCTCCCTGCCTCATTACTTTTTAGGTAGTTTAGAATAGTTTTAAAAGCTTTCTAAATCCTTAGTGGCAATAAATTTCCTTTCATATGTATTTCCATCTTGCATCACATGCCATTTTTAAAACATGGTGTTACCAATGTTTTTCTCATTTTTGTGATCAGATTTTTTTTTAATAGTGGTCATCTTCTGCTACTATATGGAATGAATTCTTTTGCATTCATTTCAAGATTCCCTATATGTTCTTTATGAGCAAGTTTTAAGTCATTTACATTTATATTAGATGAAATTATAACTTTATTTTTTTCTTTTATGATTTTTTATTAAATCATAAACACATAGATCAGGTACAAATTAATGCATTTATGGGGTACAATGTGTTGATTTCACATAGAATTAGGGATGCTTACATAACACTGGTTAATATATACCTCATCTCGTTTACTTAATAGACATTTATACTCTATACTAATATATCTGACATGTACCCTTGCATTAGGCACCATATGTGTTATCCCACCATTCACCCTCCCTTGATCTGACCTCCCCCCTTCCCTCCTATCCCTCCCTTCATCTTGGGCCATAGTTGTGATCTATTCTTCATATGAAAGCATGAGTGATTGTAAATTGGTTTCATAATAGTACTGAATACATTGGATATTTTTTCTTCCATTCTTGAGATACTTTACTAAGTAGGATATGTTCCAGCTCCATTTGTGGAAATGTAAAGGAGGTAAAGTCTCCATCTTTTTAAAGGCTGCATAATATTCCATGGTATACATATACCATAATTTATTAATCCAGTCATGGGTCAAGTCAATGGGCACTTGGGAAAATTATAACTTAGATACTGTTTCCTTACTGCTTTCAAGAAGTATATAGTTATATTCTTTTACTTCCAAGTCTTTGCCAAGTTAATCTTGAGTTAGAGATCCATGTTGATGTGATGAATGGTTATTTTATATCTTTTCTTTGATCATTTATTTTAGATTTTCATTCAATATCATCTAATATAGTTTTGATTTCAATATAAATCACTAGGCTTTATTTTCCCTTCCACTTATTTTATTTAATATATTCTTAATTTTTTAAAGTTTGTTTCTGTAGAAATGTACAACTTTGTGAAACCGCCACAGTGAACAAAGCAGGTGAAGTCCTAGCTCACTTGGATTTTATGTGATAATGGAAAAGGCAGAGTACAATGACATAAACACGAGTGTGGTGTAATGTCACTAGCTGTTAATCATATGGATAAAGAAGATACATTGTTCCAGTATGTGCAGGATTTTACAGAGCATAGTCTGAGGAGATTTTGTATGCTGAAAGAGAAACAGAACCACAAACACAGTATGCCTATTGGATTTGCCAGAAAAGAGACCAAAGTTCAAAGCTCAAGAATAACACAGAAAAAAAAAATTACCAGAAAGAAAAGTGAGAAAAGAGACTGCCTCATGTGATATATGAAACATGTTTAGCACAGTAACTACCATGATAACAAGTACCCATATTTATCATTCATTACCATGTGAAAACAGTTGTGGTCAAAAAATATGGAATAAAGGCATATCAGTTAGATCAGGGCCTGATACAGATTCCACAATGAGACAAATGGATCAACAAGTCTGCCCGTAGGAGTCTGGAGGCGACTTCAGCTCCTCTCTGGCTGGCTGTTCTCCCGACAACTGGGCTGTTCTCTTGGGTGCTTTATGCTTGTTACTTGTTTCTCATTGTGAGGGACTGGACCTCTTTTTAAACTATTCTTGCTTTCTCTCCTATGGATTCCAAACTGTAACTATGTCCTAAACTAAAAAATACCTTTTACTTTGTGATCAAGCATACATGTACACACAAATACACACGCACACAGGTTGAATGAAAAGAGTAGCACAAAGCAATTTATGCACCCTTACTATGTATGGTGCACTGAAATTTTTCATTTGCATTTTATTCATTGTATTTTATTTAATTCTTACAGAATATTGTCCGACCTCCTAAATATGGGAAACATTTTTCTAGCATACTCTCCACACTTATGCTAGAACCTCCTTGTTTCTTTCTCTCATCAGAAATTTCTGGGACACTGCTATATTCTCTCATTTTTTTCATACAATTGTTCATACAATATTTAGCTTTCTTTGACAATGAAAGCTAGAATGTACATTTCTATGTAAAGTGGAGCAGTCACAGTCTAGAGGTGATAAAAGAAATGGAATTAAGTAAACACTATTGCTACATTAAGCCTTGCAGGAAGTGTTTAACTGTGGGATGTTAAAACGAAAAATTCCAAATAGACCAGTAGGTGAGAGTCAACAGAAGATAGTGAGTGTTATGAAAGCACTGAACATTGAAACTCTGGGGTCTCCTGAAGCTGAAAGTCAAGTTCAGTATTTGAGAAATCAGTGTGAGCAAGGGCAGAGCATTGTGAAGTTATAGTGACAAGTCAGTCATGGAAAGTGGAGCCTTATGTTAGAAACTACAAGAATATTACCTTCATTCTCCTGTAGGGAGTCATGAGGGGAGTTTATGTCTAGAATTTTGGTGATCATCGTTGTAATATAGAAGGTCACCCTGGGTCAATGTGACTATCTTTCACATTGGCACCAGATAGAGTACCAGCCTGGGGTAGTTGGAAGAGAATCAAACAAACAATTCAATTAGAACATAGGCAAATAAATAATCTGAAGAAACATTTGTCAAAAGACATACAAATGACCAACAGATATACCACAAAAATCTTCAGCATCACTAATCATTAGGGAAATGCAAATAAAAACAACAATGAGGTATCATTTCAACCCAGTTAGGATAGCTATTTTCAAAAAGATAAAAAAAAGAACAAAATGCTGGCAAAGATGTGGAGAAATGGAAGGTCTTATACTGTTGGTAGGAATGTAAACTGGTACTGCCATTGTGGAAAATCATTTGAAAGTTTCCCCCAAAACTACAAATAGAACTATCCTATGATCCAGCAATCTCACTACTGGGCATTTATCCAAAAGAAAAGAAATCATAATATCAAAGATACATCTGAATCCCCACGTGTATTGCCTCACTGTTCACAGTAGCCCAGATAGGAAATCAGCCCAAGTGTCCAACAGCATATGAATGAATAAAGAAAATGAGTTTGAGAGTGTGTGTTTTGTGGGGCCATGAACAGTCCTCAGAGCAGGGGTACTTGATGTCATATATTCCAAAATGTAACTCTTAGAATACACATATCTGAATGCTAACCAATAAATGCAGAAGTTTAGCTTGGTTCAAGGATGGCCTTTGACATGAAACAAAGTAGAAGGAACAATGTGTGCATGAGAGACTCCCTGTGTCTAGGTTTTTTGAAGCAGCAGCAAGACCTCCTTGTTTTTTAGCATCCTATGTCACCTCTCATCACCTCCCTTTCTCTTTCACCTTGTCCACTGGCTTTCTTTTTGGACTTGAGCATCTGAAAAAGCATTTTCCTTTTAATCGTTGCACAGTCTGAAGCTCCTGGCTGGCACATATATCCCCAGATAAACTCGTGGGTCTTACCTTCTCTGTCAAAATATCATCTTGTCTATTGCCTGGACTGTCATAAAAACATCACTTCTGCCCACTCTTTGTTTTTATCAATTTGTTTCCTTTAAAGCAGTGACTATATATTTATATGCTTATATTCTTTTTCCATCATCAGATTGTAAGGACTTTTGTTTTTCAGTGCCCTGCAGTTATTCCCTAGACACTGTCTGGAACATGGTCCACACTAAATATAAATTCTTCAAATGCATAGAATAATTTGTCCTTAAAAATGTAAAATAGTGACCTCTTGGGGGAAAAGATGGATTAACATGTTGGAGGTGATGGATATCATCCAAATTTGATCATTAAACATTGTATGCTTGTATTAAAATATCACATATATCCCCAAAATTTGTATAACTATTATGTATCCATAAAAATAAAAAATAAAAAAATGACTAGCAGCAATACATGAGAATCTTCTAAAAGGGACCAGATCCATACACACAAAAAATAAATAAATGAATTTCTTGACTACAAAATATGTATATATATGTGAGTATTACCTATCTATATGAAGATCAGTCATGTTATTTTTCTCTTCACTGATAGCCACATCAACCACATGAAACCAACAAATAATACACGAATTTCAGAATTTCTTCTTCTGGGATTTTCAGAGGAACCAGAATTACAGCCCGTCATGTTTGGGCTGTTCCTGTCCATGTACTTGATCACTGTGTTTGGAAACCTGTTCATCATCTTGGCCACAGTCTCAGACTCCCACCTCCACACACCTATGTACTTCCTCCTCTCCAACCTGTCTTTTGTAGACATCTGTTTCACTTCCACAAGCATCCCAAAGATGCTGGTGAACATTCTCATGCAGAGTAAAGTCATTACCTATGCAGGCTGCATCACCCAGATGTACTTTTTATTGCTTTTTGCAGGATTAGATGACTTCCTCCTGACTGTGATGGCCTATGACCGGTATGTGGCCATCTGTCATCCTCTGCACTACACGGTCATCATGAACCCCAGGCTCTGCGGACTGCTGGTTCTGGTACCCAGTATCATGAGTGCTCTGCATTCTCTGTTACAAAGCTTAATGGTGTTACGGCTGTCCTTCTGTACAGACTTGGAAATCCCCCACTTTTTGTGTGAACTTAACCAAGTGGTCCACCTTGCCTGTTCTGATACATTTCTCAATGACATGGTGATTTATTTTGCAGCTGTGTTGCTAGCTGGTTGTCCACTTGCTGGGATCTTTTATTCTTACTCTAAGATTGTTTCTTCCATATATGGAATCTCCTCAGCTCAGGGGAAGTATAAAGCGTTTTCTACCTGTGTGTCTCACCTCTCAGTGGTCTCATTGTTTTATTGCACCAGCCTAGGGGTGTATCTCAGTTCTGCTGCCACCCACAACTCACACTCCAGTGCAACAGCCTCTTTGATGTACACAGTCGTCACTCCCATGCTGAACCCCTTCATCTACAGTCTGAGAAATAAAGACATAAAGCAGGCTCTGAAAAGACTCTTTGGGAGGGAAGCTATAAAAGCACCAGTTGTATTGCACCTGAAGAACCACCGGTGATTGTAGGACCCAAAGCCTTGGAGCCAGAAATTGTGATTCTTTGGTCAAATTGTGGAAGTGGAACCTAGTCCTTCTATTTTTCTGCAATCTCCATTTATGACATGACCTTATCTATATGATTTAATTAACTTCACTAGGTGCTGGGGGTCATGATGTGTGGACCCCGACCTGGTTTGAGAATTGAGTAGGAAATGATGCTGAGGAAACATAACCTAGGTCAGTTTAAAACACATAGTCTGAGAACACTTGCAGAAAGGCTGATGTTATCTCAGGCCAAGCAGCAGACCAAGACAATGCAGCAATTCTCTGGCTTCTTCAGAAAACTTTTATTGATTTCTAACAAAAGCTTATATGCAAAATGCAAAAATGCCAAAAGATAGGTTTAAAAGAACCCCAAGTCTGCATGAAGATTGGCTGGAGAGAGAGTGGCTGGATAAAGGTAGGGGTTTGCTAACAAACAGCTGGTGGTGTAATTAGAAAGGGGGAGGGGAAAACCAGTTTTGTCCCCACAGGGAGAGTAAACCAGGCTCCCTAATGTAACTGCATATCAGGAGTTCAAAGGATTTGGCTCGTTTCGGTCCCGCCCCACCTGTTGACGCTCAGCAGGCAGGGATAGTCCATCTGTCCAGGCAAGTTCAAATTCTTCTCATCATCCCTGGTCTTGATGAACCCTCAGGGATTGTGCCTCTGCAGGCTTTCCCCTGGATACTCCTGGACTGAGGTGAGGCATCCCACTGAACAGTCAACCTATCTACTTCCCACAACTAGGCTCTGTTATCAGACACTTTTTTCTTTTGTTGTTTTCCTATTTTTCACAATGTTATTTCCAACCTTGGATCAGAAATACCTGGAAATTCCTATTGACATCTATGCACATCAAAGGATAGCATGGATTTATTTAGCATAATTTCATCTTACATGGCATCTGTAACAGCGTGTTTCTTTAAATTTTACGAAAGGAATATTCATGTGTTTTACTGCTCCTTTGGAAAAATTGCACTTAGTGACTAAGGGCACTTATGTAATTTTATAGTACAAGAAAATCCAAGACCATAGGTTTTTACTTGCACTTCTATCATCATTTTCGATATTACTATTTTGACTGCTCCTCCTGAAATGAAGACTTTAAGATACAAGTTTATTTTATAATGAGTTGTTGAGGTTTACTCTCTCATCAGGCTCTTGTGCTCTTATTAAGCTCTCATCCATAGAGCTCCAAACAGTCCCTGTCAAAAATTGGTTCTCAACTACATGTACATGTCTCCAAGTGGAGTCTACACAAAAGACAAATTTGTACCAGCAGATTCAACCAGTATGGCTACAGAGTGACAGATGACCTCAAATATGAGAAGCAAAGTTTTAAATTATATGTTGCATTATTATGAAAAATATTTTTTCAAGCTGTACATCCACTTATATGAAGGATTGGTGTCCATGTGTGTGGTGTTCATTCATTGGGGTGCAGGTTTGTTTGGTATATTTAAATTTTTTATGATTAACTTCTTGTTTCTGCTTGAAAATATCCAGTTCTGTCTACAAATGTGGCTGTTTGTGTTGTTATCAGTGAAATTGGTAGGGCCAAATATAGGAACCCCCCCCAATATAATTGTCCTGCCCAAGAAGGAATGAGCATGCCCATCCCTACCCAACCCCCAACCTCCACCTTAACCCACGTGCTGACTTCTTTTTCAAACCCTGCCCACTAGCATCTGACTGAATAAAGGCCATGTTGCCCACACAGAACCTGGGCTCTGCTTCCTTTTGTTCATGTCTCAGAAAATTCTCTCATTTTTGGTCCTTGACTTCTCAGAAATATCCCCTTTTCTAAATTTTGTCATCATCACTAAAGTAGCAGAGAATAAAAAAAACCAATACCACCCATTATATTTCTTCTTTATCCTTAAACATTTCCTTAGTTTTCATGATTAAAGTATGGCTCACGAAAGACTTTGAATTCCTGGCCATTCACATGTTTCAGGGTCACAACTTTTCTTGCACAAACAAGTATTTTCCTCCAACCACTCCTTGTTACTTAGAAGGGAATCTTGGCATAGTCATTTTTGAACACAGTTATTGAAAATAAAATTGAATCACAGGGTAACTGCGGTTGGCATCTTTAAATATCAGAACAGATGCCAAAAATAAAAATAGCAGATTATTATAATCGCCCTCCATTCTGCTCACTTCAATTATTGTATAGTTAACTATTAGTGTGTCTGAAGTCAAATGGTTTAATATACTGCCATTACAGTCCAATGAGACTGTGCAGTGGGGAGTTACTCTGAGCTCTGCTGGCCTCCGCAGGAGACTGTATCCAGCTACGGATCTGAATCACGTTGCTAAGACTTATTTATGGTGTTGCATGTGGCACTTCTGTGCACTTCTATCCTGACTCAACTCGTGATCAGTTTACTCCATTTCTATGTTGAGATTAATTCCTACTTTACAGAAAATTAAGCT